GGCAATGTCTGAAAACATTTCTAGAGATCTTGGCGATGTCTTGGCAAGTGGTCATGGAAGAGGCACTGTTGCATCCAGGAAGCCAGAAATACTGCCTAGTATAGGGTGCCCCCAACCACCTCACCACCCCCCCTCCATACACACACACACACACACACACACACACACACACACATGAATGCAAGTGTTTGAGAAACCAGATCTCCAGAGAGGTGAGAAATCTGCAACATGACCAGTAGGATGGGATTCTGTCCACCCCCATCCCTGACCCTGGATCACTGTGCCCCGGGTTAAGCCTTGAAGCTGGGGTCCTGGTGACTCCTTAAATGGAGAAGTGATCAACTCACCAGGTACCCAGAGCCCAGCTCCTAAAATTCTGCCCAAACTCTCCCTTTCTCCTTGGGAAGAGGGAGAAGCTGGGCCTTCGGCCTCCTTGTCCCCTTGCCCCCCACCATGTCCAGGAGGGGCCAACACACAGACACCTAATGGCCCTATCTTCCTCTGCATACAAATGGCTGAAAGAATAAAATGCCCGACAGGAACGGGATTAAATCCTGGTGTTGTCATTGATGGGAACCCATAGCCTCTCCTCTCTGGGCAGCAGTTTTTCTCATCTGTCCAAAAAGATAAAGCTAATTCTAACTTAGTTGTGAAAGTCAGATTCCAAAGTTGAAGGTCAAGGCTTGGAAAGAGGCTGGAGAAGTTCCGTGAACAGTCTCCTCCATGCTAAGTGCGAGGGAAGCCAAAGTGATTTGCTAACCAGCAATCCAGACTTTGTTTCCAGACTCAGATGCTGAGAGCAGGAGCAGGTACTCTGGCCCAGTCAGACCCCGGCCCAGCCTTGCAGGAGCCTCGGAACAGGGGAGAGGAACCACAGCTCCAGCACCCTCCAAGCCCAGGCCCAGAGCGGTCACTGCAAACCTCTCTGCCCTCAAGATTTCAAGCCTGATGTCATGGGTCTTCAAGAAACTCAGTTGAGGGGCCACAGCAACAGTATAGGCAGCGAGTGGGTGCTTGCCTTGCACGTGGCCAATCCGAGTTTATTTCCCAGCATCCCACAAGGTCTCCCGAGCACTATTGGGAATAAATCTGGAGTGAAAGCCAGGAGTAAACCCTGAGCATCGCCTGTTGTGGTCCAAAAACAGAAAAAAAAAAATAAAGAGACAGAGAAAAGAAAACGAAGAAAGAGCCTAGAAAGATTCCATGACTGGCTGGTGTTCCAAGATCAAAGCTTGGGGATTGGGCCTCCAGGCCGGTGCCCTGAAGACCTTCACAGCGGGCCCTCAATCTACAAACCCCCCAGGTCTCTGGCTCTTACCCATAAATGTCCACCAGGGTCTCCACGCCAGCCACACACACAGCACTGGTGGGATGCTCCAGGGACACGCGCACTATCCTCTTCATTGGCATGCTGGCCTCCGACTGGGCTTGGGTCACCAAACCCAGCGAGTTCTCCAGGCCCACCTCAGCCTAGGGTTTAAAAGACCCTGGCCCCACCCCTCCACCCTGGGGTGCTAGCTCACTGGCTCCGGCCCTGCAACCCCAGTCCCGTCTCAGAGCCAGGAGCTCGGATTGGCTGGAAGAGCTTCCCAATCTGCATATGAACCTGTTGCTCCCGCTGGGGCACCCAGGAAATGAATTTCTTGCTCCAAGGGAGGCAGGTTCCCACAGGCACTGACCTGGTCAGGGCATCAGCTCTCTGAGGGGGAGGTGGCAATGGGAGGTATTGATCTGGGTTCCTTCTACGCTGTTCAGAGGCGGCCTCGTCACCCCTGCTTCCTGCATTTTCTGAGTCCACATGCTGTGGTCCAGCATTTCTCTTCCTGCTGGGGGAGGAGGTGGACAGTTACCTTCCCAGGTCCTACCTCCAGTCTGCTCCGTGGATCAGGGGTACAGCTTGGTTCCGGAGCTTTCTGCAAGTACCACAACCAATGTAAGCTGTACTTTGAGAAATACAGCCTTTTCTTAAGAGCATGGATTTTAGACACAGGGCAGGCTGGGTTTCAGCCACATCTCAACCAGATCCCGGCCAGACAAGGTGCAACATTGTTCCTCTTTCCACTTTAAAACAAAATGACCAAAGTCTAAATCGATGATGGGATAGAACCCTAGGAAGGAGTTTGGCATTATTTCAGGATGGGTGTTCTTGTGATTGCTATCAAATACCAAAAAACTCTGGAAGGGGTAAGTGATGAAGGTGACGATCTTGTGCAGGAAGAGCTTGGAACGTTAGCATAGGAAGGTTCACCTGGCAGGTGGGGGAAACTGAGGCAGGGTTTATGCAGCCGTCTGAAACAGCCCAAGAAATCCAGGGTACTAAGGAGAGGTTCCACTGTGCCCGGCTCTGTAGCCACGGGGCTTACGTCTCCCCGGCCAGCCTTGGTTTCTTCATCCGTCGGAAATGTGGTCATCACCAGCTGGGGCAGAGATAATGGGGTGAAGGGGGTGGCACCTTACCCTGTGAGCTCACGAGGTGCTGAATACGGGGTTCCTCCCTTCTCCTCAGTGATGCTGATAGTCAGTGGCAGGGTGGGGACCAGTACTTGGTCCCTAAGTCCCCAGCTGGGGCACCGGCATGAGCTCAGCTAGTCTCTAAGATCGTGCTCCTGCACCCGGGCTTCCAGGAAGGATGTTCATCCCCCCACACAGACAGCTGTTGGGCTCCAGGCCCAATGGTCACATCCCTAAAGGGCCTCATTCTACTTTGGGAAAGCATCAGTGCTCAAGAGCAACCCTGAGACCATCTCCCGAGCCCATCTGGGAGCGCACTGCAGGGAACAGAAGCAGAAAATAGGAGCTTCCTGCTGGACACTGGCCTACTGTGCAGAGGCCATGACCAGCCTCCTGCTCGGAGCCCTTCATCCCTTTCCAGAAGAGGACCCATGGCTCCACGCCCCGCCCCCTGCCAATGCTGGTGCCCAGCAACACATCTGTGCAGGTCCACTGAGGTGTCAGGACCTGATGCAGGTCTCTTTGTCTCTGAGCCCACTCCCCGAGTCAAGCATGCTAGGGGTACTGGAGGAAGCAAGATGAGGTGGGCCTCAGCAAGTTTGTGTGGAGGGAGGAGGGGTACTCTCAGGTCCCTAACATCAGGCCACCGTGTGACCACTTGGCAGCTTTTGGAGACAGGAACGAGAAAGGGGCAGTGTCCTGTGACCCTGGGCACCAACCCTGCTGGGGATTTTTCACCTATGCCCAAGGGGGCTCTGCCTACCCCCTCAACTACCACACACATACACTCGCAACCACACTCACACACTTGAGTGATGGAGGAGATAGGCCAGGACAGGGAGGAGACATAAGACTAGCCCACCACTGGCCTGATAGCCATCTTAGCAGGCCCTGGGCCCCAGGGCTGTCTGCCAGTCCTGCTGCTGAATCAGCCTACCAGCCTGGGACTGGCCTGGGGGGCTCTCGATGCCCATGGCCAGCGGAAGTTGAGTCAAGAATGGTGGGTGCCTCCCCTGGCATCCCCCCTCCCCCGTCTTCCCCTACCCCCAGCCCAATACACAGACGCTCAGGAGGCAGCCACTTGAGGAAATGTATATCGACATTTTTATTCATCAGGAAGGAGGTGACTGGTCACCCAGAATATTCTTGGAGGGGACATCAGGGGTGGCCCCAGCACCCCAGCAGCACCTCCAGAGCTCCCCTCACTCAGTGCCACACTGGACAGCTGGGTCCCCTACACTCCCGGTCATGTCTCTGCACAGTGGCTACCCCCTCCCACCATGGCCCTTCCCCCCTTAAACCTGACCGGGATGATTCTGTTAGTCCCAGGCTGGGGGTCGCATGGCTGAGTGTTCCAGGGATGCAGTAGTCTAAGTCCCGGCAGGTACCTCTGAAAACCTAGTGTGGGGTGTCCCTGAGACCGACCCATGGGCTTTGGGACATGGAGAATGGGCGGTCTGGGGTCACTTCTCAACCAGCACCAGCCCAGCCTGCCTGCCTGTGCTAGCCTCACGGGGCAGCTCTGTCTCCCTGTCTGCAGGAAGGGACCCCGGCCAGCTGGCCTGAGGAGCTCGGTCCCCGAGATGCTGAGAGAGACAGGCTTGTCTTCCCTCCCACTGCCTGCAGAACGGGAGGGCAATAATTAAGGTCCATTAGAGGAAATTAGACCCCACCTTCAGAGATAACCTCATGCCCCTCCCCACCCTCCTGCAGCCCTGGGATCCCACCCCCCTACCTCTGTTCTGAGTCCTTCACTGGAGTCACAAATCCCCCAGAAGGTGCCTGAGAAGGCAAAATCCAGAGCACAGGAGGTAGGTAGGTGTCGGCCTCGCTGGGCCCCCCTCACCCGGCCTTCCCCACTGGGTCCTCGGGCCTCACTCAGCGTTTCTGAGCCGGAAACAGCCAGCACTCCTAATTAAAGGCTTTCCCAGTGTAACAAGCATCCTGCTAGGATGGAGGCAGGTATTAAGAGGTTTTTGTTGCCTTTCCTTTTTAAAACAGGCAGGTGAGGCTGCCCTGCCCTTGTTTCCCTGTGTCAGTACAGCTGGGAGCGGCTTGGGAGGACACAGCCTGGGGGTCCCCTGCAGAAGCTGGCAGAGGACAGAGGGTGTCTCACGGCCGCCACCCCAGCTCTCCTGGTCTTACCAGGGCTTCCGGTGGCCCAGACTCAGGGCTTCACACCAGAGTGCCCCCTCCCCTGCCCGCCTCAGAGCCCAACTCCTGGAGGAAGCATGGGAGAGGACCAGCACGTGGAGGGACAGTACAAGTCTGGGCACGGCCCTCTGTGGACACAGTCAATCCGTTGCTCTTTTCCAGAACCTCTGGGTGCTGTGGCTGGGAAGGGAGCGGGCAGAAGCGTGTCTTCTCCCTGCCTGCCTAGGTCAGTCCAGCGGGGGAGGGTTTGTGATGTCCATCCTGGGTCCACGGTGTCCACAGTGGCCAGCACGGTGGCAGCACAGGGGCAGGGGCGTGCCCAAAGCTCCCACAGCCTTGGGGAGGGGCGGGGGAGGCTCCGGGCCCCTCCCCCTGGTGGGGAGCAGCGAGGACGGCAGGCGGGGAGCAGGCTCAGGGCTCCATGTGCCACCACTTGACGGAGAAGGGCTGCCGGCGCACATTGGTGCCGCAGTGAATCTCCCCCAGCAGCTCGTGGTAGGACAAGTAGTCGTCGATGAAGGTGCAGTGCAGGCCCAGTGGCTCCAGCAGTGCCCGCACTTTCTCCTCCAGGCAGCAGCGGCCGTTGATGATGGGTCCATAGGGCTTGGGGATGCCCAGGTGCTGGCCCAACACTACCATGTTCACCTGCACAGGGACAAGACCAGAGGGAGCTGGCTGACCGGGGAGGTGTTACCCAGGGCCCTCCTGGACTAGGACCCTGAGATACCACCACCACCACCACCCCCGCCCCGGCCTGTCAGCACCATGGACCACCAGGGCAGATTCTCAGAACCAGGGTCTCTCGGGCTGGTTCAGCAATCGAGGAACTGCCTGCTGGATCCCTCCCTAGTGACACAAAACAAGCAAACAAGCAAAAATCCAAGCAGAAGACCCCAACTCCCTCCATTCCCAGTCCCTGGCAGTCAAGTCAAAGGGAGGTCAGGGTTCTAAGCCAGGACACGCACTTAGGGCGAGGAGGCGGCATCACTGGTCTCTGTCAAGTTGCCACTCAACTCACAAAAACTTTCCAGGAATTGAAAGTGTCATCCACCCCACCTGCTAATACCTGTTTTATCTATCAGAGAAGTGTTCTGTTCCAGCAGCTGTATTAGTGCGCCGTTTCATCAACTGCCTGAGACATATGCAACAAATCTAGAATCTATGCTCCCACCGTGAACACACATGGACACAGTGGCACACACATGCACATGTGCATGTGTACACAGACGGGCATATATGCACGCACATGTGAGCACACCCACATACACATGCACATACACACAAATACATGTGCACACAAATGTACACACACGCAGGCACACATACAGGAATGCCCACAGGTAGGCATGTGTACGCAAATACATGTGCACACGTGTGTGTACACATGCACATACACAGGCATGCACACACATGCATATACACACAGGAATATACACACAGGCACACACAGGCATATACACATGTATACACAGGTATACACATGCACACACAGGCATATACACACAGGAACCCACAGGCATATATACACGTATACACAGGTATACACATGCACACACAGATATATACACACAGACACACACAGGCATATACACAAAGCATACACGCACGCACACTCATGCATACACATGCATGTACGCACACAAGTATACACATGCACACACACACATGCACACGCACAGTGCCCTTCTGTCGGTGGTGACTTTGTGACTGGAAATCCACTCCCAGGTTGCTTGTCTTGGCGGTGAAATCAGGAGTCACCAGGGTCACTGGGGTGAGTGTGGCAGAGCTGGGGGGTGGGGTGCCAGGGCGAAACCCGGAGGTGTCACTGGGGGGCAGTGGCAAAGGGCTCTGGGGATCCAACTCAGGGCCTAACACATGTGGGGTGGGCACGTGTCCCACCTCCAGTCCCTCTTGAGCACCTTCCACGTGACACATGCTCGCTAAGCCCATCACTGACCCTGAATCCGAGGCTGAGTCTTTGACGGTGACGTCACACAGTTGAGAACAGGGAGATGACCGCATGGCGCGTGTCAAACCCATCTCCTTAGACTGCCCAAGTGGAGCCTAGGCGTGTGGCTGGGAGGACTCGGGGACTGCTGAGGCTGTCCTTGGGCCACCGCAGACTGGGAAAGGTGTGGCAGTTTCTCAGCGGCGACTCAGCCCCAGACTCGTGGTCAGAGACCTGCCCTGGGCATTTGGAGGTGGCACTCTGCCTGAGGCTGGACCCCTGAGTGCTCCTGGACTCTGCCGACTCACCCTCCTTCATGCCCAACTCCTCCCCGGTAAGTCTGCCTTACATATGATGGGACCCACATACAGCTGGAGCGTAGGGTTCGTGGGTTCTGTCCATAAGCTACCTAGATACCCACTAATGGGCTGGAACCCACTGGAATGAAGTGGGGCATGCAGAGAGGCGAGGAGCCAGAGATGGACACAGCCAGCCCAGGGCCGCTCCCTCCTGAATGAGGACTCGAGCCTGGAGGGCCATCTGCCCGCCCACCAGGTGACCTCAGGCAAGTCAATGGGGCCAGTGTCCCCACCTGACAGATGAGGGGTTAAGTGAATATCCCCCTGGGGTCCTCCTCATAGGACATACTGACCACTGTTCCTGAAAGGCACCAGGCCAGGCCCTCCCCACGCTCAGTCAGAGCCTAATTCAGGGCCTCTCCTAGCTACTATCTATGCCGAATGCAGCTGTGGAAATTTAAAGGAGACGTGCCCATCCTCAGGTCCCCGCGGGCAGCGGAGTGGGCTAGAGCACAGACTTTGCCAACACCAACATGGCCCCAGGACCACCTGGGCAACTCCTGAACACAGAGCTGGGAGTAGCTCTGAGCACCACCAGGAATGCCCCCCCTCCCCACCGGCCCCAAGAAAACACAAAGGAACAAACTCCAACAACAAGACAATGCCAGACCCCTGCCACACTAGACATAGTCCACACATTTAGTGGTCACACATTTGCAGCTTAGGGGCTTCCTGTCGTAGCAGTCAGTTGTGGAAGATTGGTCTCTTCTGGAAAGTTCTCAGGGAGCACGGCCTTGGAGCAGCTTTGCTGTGAGTCTCCCCGGCCCCGCCCTCGGGCATTTTTGGTCATCACAGAGATGCTGTGATGGGGACAGGGATACCCCAGTCACCCCAGGGCGTGTCCCACCACAGCCCCATGAACTCCCACCTCAGCCCCCAAGGACCTGTGAAGCCCAGCAACCTGAGCCCGGGCCACAGGGCTGGGGTCAGCACCAGCTCCCCAGCCCTTGACTAGTGCAGTGACGTGGATGCGTGTCCAAGGCACAGCTGGGGATGGAGGACAGCCCATCCCGGGGGACCACTCCTCACGGCTCCCCACTGCGGCCGACGCCCACCGTCCTTTCCCAAGGGCTAATGGGCACTTTGGCCGGGACTGCGCCGATAGCATCGCTCAGGCCCCGCCCTGCCACTCGGGTGAGATCACATCTGAGCGGCATCTGCTAGTCAGCTGCCCAGTGAGTGAGTCAGGGGGCCCCCTGGGGAGCAGGAGGGGCCAGAACAGGCTGCTGAGGCCAGAGACTGGAGCCCGGAGCACTTGGAACCAACTCGAGGGAGTCCTTGGTGGTGAGGCTATTCCCTGCACCCACCCGTGAACCTGAGCAGCACCCTCGGCTTCTGCACCCCACATACCCATATGCCCCTTGTTCCCCCCTTGTGGCACCTGAAACTGCCCGGGACACAGATGTGGATAGGAAGTCCAGGGTCTGAATACAGAGCCTCAGCCCCCCCCCCCCCCCCACCTGTTGTGGCTGCCATGGGTGGTTGTGCAGGTTGCTCACTGTACAGATTGTGGGAACGGATGGCTCTCGGAGCCCCAGTGGGGCCCGTCGGAACCCAGTCAGGCTCCAGGGGTGCTCCTCACTCGCTCACCATGTCAGGGAAGAAGGCTTCCGCAGCGGAGCCCTTCAGGGTGAAGAGCTGAGGGATGTCCACGATGTCGCGCTCCGTCAGGCCCAGCTCCCGCTTCAGTACCTCCCGGTTCCAGTCGATGCATTTCTGGAGGGGCACAGGAGAGGCAGCGGGCACCCCGAGAGCCAGGGAGGATCAAACGCCTCTGAGACTTAGCATCCACCTGGGCCGAGCCCAGCACAATGTCCCCATGGCTGTCCCCAAATGGGGAAACCGAGGCTGACATGTCCCACCCCAGGAGAGACAGGACGTGGCAGAGCTTGGGACCCATGGTTTCTGGTTCCCAGAAGGCTCACAGAGCACTACCAGGGTTTCTGTGCGTCTCCAAGGCGGGGAAATCGTGCGGGCATGGCTCAGGAGAAGCAGAGAGGCGCCTCTGGCCTCTGTGCACAACCTGGGGGGCTGACCAGGAACCAGTTTGGGGGCTGCTGTTACTCCTGCCCCTTCCTGAGCCCCTCCGCCCCGGGGCTCCTCTCCCCGCCTCCCGACTCCCACCCACCAGAGCCCACACCCACGGGGTCCATCTCCCCACCACTTCTCTAGCGAACCGCCGGCTGTTTCACAGAACCCCTGTGTCCCCTACACCCCACGGGGCCATTCCTCCTCCTCCTCCATCTGGGAGCCACCCGAGGACTCAGCTCTGTCTCCTCCATCTGACTGAGCTCCATCCACCCACGGGCCTCTGCAGCACCCAGAGTTGAACTCCTCCCCCCCCCCCACCCCACCCCAACCCTTCCTGGGGCTCTCTTCATGGTGAGGGGCCCCCCGGAGCAGGCACCGACCCTCACCTGTGCATACTGACTGTCGTTCTTGAGGACCCTGTCGGCCAGCATCTCGTTAATACTTCTCTTCTTCTTATGCCTTAGCCCTGTGTGAGAGAGGAAGGAGATAGCTGGGGGTCTCTGGGACCATCTCACACACAACTCTCCCCCGCCCCCTCCCCAGGGCGAGGGCTGCATCGTCTGGGCCAGGATGGTCCTCTCTTCTCCTGAGGTGGAGGAAACCAGGGCTCGGAAACCCCATAGGGACCAGATCATAGATTCGCTCTAAAGGGACTCCAGGCTCCCACTTGATCACAGTGCAGTGACCACTCTGGGAACCCCACCATGCACCCCGCCAAAACATGACTAAGAGGGCTTCATTATCACACACACACACACACACACACACACACACACACACACACACACACGGTTCCGAAAAGAGAACTCAGAAACGCCAAGAGTTTCAGACACAACTGAATCTCACGGCCTGCAAGTGGCCAGCGAGCCCAGGGTCTCTCTACCTTTGGTGAAGGATGCTAAGGTTTGTTACAGAGCAGGGAGTGGGGTGACCTCAGGAGGGTCCTTCTGACCCCAGAGTAGGGATCACATGGGCTACTGACCACCTGCATGGCTTCTGGCCCTTCCTGCCCTGCACTGCAGGCCACAGTGCTCTGAATAAGCCACAGCTCTCTGGGCCTCAGTTTTCTTGCTGGGCCTCAGTTTCCTCCTGCACACAGGAACTGGGCGGAGCTGAGACAGGGTGAGTGAGCCTGTGAGAGGGCTCGGACACAGGGGCCCATGGCTTCCGGCTTCTGTCCTCTCCTGAGTGTGGCCAGCAGCCGCTCACCCCAGTGGGGGAGTGCCCCCTAGTACATGCCAGGGTTTATCCAGGGGGACCTCGGCTGCCCAGACTCATGCAGGGAGAGTCCCATCCCAAGTCCCCCGTGGGAGGGCAGGGATGATGATGGTGGGCTCTGAGCTACCAGATGCATACAAAGCTGAGAGCAGAATGGCACAGAGTGCTGGGATGGACACCCACCGTACCCAGGGCTGGCCCTGTGAGGGCAGCAACGCCCCCCCAACTCCACCACTAAGGGGCCAGGTCACTCACCATCGAACTGGGCTGCCTCACCGTGACCCTCCTCTTTCTTCTCTCGGAAGAGTTTGAGACAGGCACTGGGGCTGGCCAAGAGCAGCCGGAAGCCCTGGCATAGAGGGAGGTAGAACAGTTCAGTACCCCCCGAGAGGCAGGAGACCCCAAACTCAGAAGAAGCCCAAGTTCACTTGGATCCACCCCTCCCTGCCAGCCGACCCACCCACCAGCCATCAAGAACTGTCAGTAACGTCCCCTACACCCTGGATCCACCTACAGGCAGGCCTCTGTCCTCATCCTCAAGTCTCCAACAGGGAATTCTGCCTCCATCCTGGTAGTTAAGAAGGCAGCGTCCACTGGGCAGGCTCAATCCTGACCCACCTGCCTGCCACCTTGGAGCCTGTTTCTTCATCTATAAAATGGGGTAATGCTAAAAGTCTCCCTTCATCAGGTTGCAGGAAGACTGAATTAAAACAAGGACCCATATAGGCACTCTGTGTCTCCAATCCATTATTATTATTATTATTATTATATTACTTTTGAGCCACACCCATTGGTGTTTAGGGCTTAATTTTGGTGTGGGTTGGGGCACCATTTCTGGTGCCCATGTTGGCTATGGGAAAGGCAAGAGCCTTAGTCCTTATCTATCGTTCTATCTCTCCGACCCCTAGTGTTTCTGATTCTTAGAATCATCCCCGGGGCTTGGCTGAGGAGTTCGAGGGAATGAGTGGACTCCTGACGTGGGCTCCAGCCTCCTCCAGGAAGGCCCCCATGAATGCTCCAGGCACACCGTGGGCACAGGCATGGAACAGGTTTGGGTTGTTATGCCCTGCCCTGCCCTGCCCATCAGGAAGGGGCAGAGGTGGCCTACTGCCTGGAGGAGAGAGGATGTACCTTTTGGTCTGAGGTGGGCACGAAGCTCAGGAACTCGTCCACGTGGCCCACGGAGAGCCAGTCGGAGTAGAGCTCCACCGGCGCCTGCACCTGCTGGGCCCGCAGGAAGTCCCGCACCACCTTGGCCATCCGCCGTCCGCCGGACCTGCCCAAGGAGGGGGGTTCTGGTGCCTTGGTGCACCGGTCCACAGGCCCTGTCTGTGCCCCGCCTGCGGCCCAGTGCCTGGAACCCTCTGCGGGGTCTTCTTGGTGCCCACGTCCTGGCCATAGCCCCCAGGGGCTCCCCACAGCTCATCGCCCATCCCGATCATGGATCCAGATCATCCACCCTCCACCTCTAAATAAATTTGGAGGGTCCCAAATTTGTTTGGTCTGTTGCCCCCATTGCAGAAAAATGATTGTTTCACAGTCCCCGAAAATCTGCCTTCTTTTAGAGACCAGGCAGACAGGGCCCCCAGCTGCACCAGAGGCCACTGCTGTCCTCCGGGGAAGCCCACTCCCCACCCACACGTCCTGCCTGGGAGGGGGGAATCACTCACTCAGGAAGCACTGACCTAAAGCAGTGCTTCTTAAGCTCTTTATTTTATATTTTTAGTGAATCATTTTTTCGCTAAAAAATACCTCATTTTTTTTTTGGTTGAATGACTTACTTAGATGTGAGAGGAGAGAAAGAGGGGAAGTGTGTGTGTGTGTGTGTGTGTGTGAGAGAGAGAGAGAGAGAGAGAGAGAGAGAGAGAGAGAGAGAGAGAAGGAGGAGGAGGAGGAGGAGGGTGAGGCTGAGAGAAGTGCGTGCCATAGAGGCAGGCTGGGGCAGGGGAGGCAGGAAGGTGGGGAGGGCAGCTGGAGAGAAACTGGCGACACTGGTGGTGGGAAATGTACACTGGTGTTGGAACATTGTATGATTGAAGCCCAATCGTGAACCACTTTGTAACTGTGTATCTCACTGTGATTCACTGTAGCACTGTAGCACTGTTCTCCCGTTGTCCATCGATTTGCTTGAGCAGGCCCAGTAACATCTCCATCGTGAGACTTGTTACTGTTTTTGGATATGGAATATGTCACGGGGAGCTTGCCAGGCTTTGCCTTGCCGGCGAGGTACTCTCGGCAGCTTGCCGGGCTCTTCGAGAGGGATGGAGGAATAGAACCCAGGTCGGCCGTGTGCAAGGCAAACGCCCTACGCGCTGTGCTACTGCTCCAGCCCCACTGTGATTCAATTTAAAAAAAATTAAAACAACAACAAAAAGAATCTATGGGTAGAGGAAACCGCATGCACTGGAATATTATACTAATATATAAGCATTGAACAAGAAAAGAGAGAGAGAACATGGGCTTCCCCAGAGCAGAAATAATCAAGCAAAGAAACATAAAGACAGACAAGAGAGACAGGTGATCCAGGGGGTACCTGGGCCTGGAAAGCAAGGCTGGTTTTGGTTTGGGGGTTTGTTGTTGTCTTGTTGTTACTGTTCTGAGGTCATACCTGGCAGTGCTCAGGTCTTCCTCATTGTGGCTTGGTGCTTAGGGGTCACGCCTGGCAAGGTTCAGGGGACCAGGTAGTGCTGAGGATCAAACCAGGAACTCCTCCAGGAAGGCCCTCATAAATGCTCCAGGCACACCGTGGGCACAGGCATGGAACAGGTTTGGTAAGGAACTCCTTCTCTTAGTTCCATCTTATTTATTTATTCATTTGATTTTGGTGGGGTTCTATGCCTGGCGGTGCTGGGGGACTTAGTGCTGTCTTTGTGCTCAGGGGACCGTACGTGGTGCGGGAGATCCACCCAGGATTAGAGGATGCACGGCAAGTGCCATACCACCTGCTGTCCTTCACTATTTTTATTCATGACCCCTGTTCTGCAAGAAATGCAACTGGATGAGTGCTTCTGCTTCCAAGAACACTTTGGATTCGTGACGCCGTGCAGCCTGAGCGGGTTTGGGTCATTGCATAGTCAGTGACCTTTACAGGGGCCAGGTTTTTCATGACCCCACGTCAGTTATGCCCCATTCTCAGAAGTGACTCATGGTTTAGGCATCAGGCCCTGGGCTGGGGATGTGCTTGGGGTACAGGTGTGGGGCCTGGGGTTGCACCTCTAGCACCCCCAAAACAAAAACACTCACAAAAGCTGGGTCCTATAGCACCCTCCTGGTCCCGGAAGCTGCTCCCATCCCTCCCACCTCCAGTCGTCAAGGGAACGAAAGACCCTCACTCACAGCCTGACTCAGAGAGGAGGCAACCCCTCACGTAAGGCGCCCAGCCCTGGACCTGGTGAGCCTCTTTCTGTGGTCTTTTCTCCAAAGCGTAAGACTGGCCTGTGGGGATAGGGGTAGCTGATTTTGTTGGCCTGTGGGGGTCTTGTTTAAACAGGGGTTTCCCAGGCCCTCAGCCTCTCAGCATCGCTGAGCCAGGATCCCTCTGAGTGGATGTCTGTGGCCCTGGACCCACACCGTCGTCATGGATCCCACACAAAGGAACCGCCGTTTTTTTGTCTCTGCCACAAGAGACAGAATCTTGTATTTTTGTATCTGGTCCCAAGCAGTTCCTGAACGACCCGGGTCTTTGCAGCCGCCTTTCTTAGCAGAGCAAAAGTGTGGTGCCTGGCACGGGGGACAGAGTGGGCACTCTGACCTCGAGCTGTGAGTGGACACAGGAGCCAAAGCTGCCTGGACTTGCAGGGGCTTCCATACTAGTCCTGAGGGAAGGACAATGCTGCAGGGTAGGAGGCTGAGGCCTGGGAAGTTCAAGTGGGCACTGTCCGCCTTTCCCTGGCAACAGTAACTATGGGCAAACATCTATCTGTATAGAGGAGCTTTGCAATATTTTGTCTTTAAAAAAAATAAAGAGAGAACTTAGGTGTTGTTCTCCCATGTCCATCTTACAGACATATTCATAACAAACAATACATAATAAATTATTTCGGTTCTGCTTTGGGGCAGGAGTGGGGGTTTGGGATGGAAACATCAAAAATATGGTGGTGGGAAGGTTGTGATGGTGGCGGGATTGGTGTTTGAACATTAAATGTCATCAAATATTGTGAACTACTTTATAAAAATAAAATCAAATTTAAAAAACAAAACCAATCCCCATGCTAGGGCCAGAGAAATGTATACACGAGTTTAGGCGCTTGTGACCCTGGTTCGATTCCCGGTACCCCAGAGGGTCCCCTTAGCCCCACCGCAAGTGACCCCTGAGTGCAGAGCCTGGAATAAGCCCTGAGCACTGCAAAGAGCGTGGCCCCCAAACAAAAACAAAACAAAAGGTTTCCCCTGCTATATAAAAGTCGAAGGGCCCTATTGGGCATCGTTTCTGAGATGATTTCTGGGATCTGGGGACCCACAACATTTTTCACTACAAATGAGCAGTGATTGTGCTTCCAGACCTCAATGAGATCGATCAACCTTCAACGGCAAGCGCAGCCCTCCGCCTCCTGCACAGCCTCCGTCTAGCCAGAGAAGCCCCCCCTAAACAAGCCCAGCCGCAGGTCACCCTCCTGCCCTGGTCCCTCTGCCTCCGCCTGCTCCTCTTTCAGTAAGCCAGGGGGAGACTTAAGCACGTCAGGTCACGTCCCTTCTACGGACAGAGCACTCACATTGCCAACGCTGAACCATGAATATTGCAGTAACCTCACACGACCTATAGGTGCCCCCACTGAGCCCCACAGCATCCCTTACCCACCAACGAGCTCCAACACCTGGCTCGTCTCCTGCTGCTGCTGCTGCTGCTGCTGCCAAGTACTTTGCTGCCTCAGGGCCTTTGCTCCTGCTGTCTTCCTTGCCAAGAATCATTGCCCATTCCTCACCATCTATGTATGCTTGTTTCCCTACGAAGCCTTTGAGATGGGGAACAACACCCCCGCCCCTGCCCAGCTCTATGGCACATAGCCTAATTGACACACTCGGACTTCTTGTTCATCAGTATTTCACTAGGATGTAAGTCCCAGGGGGCCAGAACTTTTGTCTTTATTCTCTGCTGGATCCCCAACCTCTCTTACGTAGAGGCTCTCGGAGGAGACTCACTCCATTGCAATGCTTTTGATCATCTGGGACCGTCCACATCAAAAGGACCTGACAGTGTCTTACAAACCAGAAGGGGCCCCAGCGAGCAGTGGAACAGGGCTGCTCTGAAGTGTGTGTGTGTGTGGGGGGGGGATAAAAAAATATGACTGCTGTGCCCTTGGTAGCTTCACTACATGTTAACAATTTTTAAAGACTTGTTAGAAAGAGAGAAAAAAGCAAGCAAGAATGAGAAAAAAGCAAGAAATAGAAAGAGAGAAGAGAAAAAGAAGGAAAGGAAGAGAGGAAGGAAGGAACGAAGGAAGGAAGGAAGGAAGGAAGGAAGGAAGGAAGGAAGGAAGGAAGGAAGAAGAAAGACAGAAAGAAAGGAGGAAGGGAGGAAGGGAGGAGGAGAGAGAAAGAAAGAAAGAAAGAAAGGAAGAAAGAAAGGAGGAAGGGAGGAAGAAAGAAAAAAGGAAGAAAAAGAAAGAAAGAAAGAAAGAAAGAAAGAAAGAAGGAAGGAAGGGAGGGAGGGAGGGAGAGAGAGAAGGAAAGAAAGAAAGAAAGGGAAGAAAGAGAAAGAAAGAAAGAAAGAAAGAAAGAAAGAGAAGGAAGAAAAAAGAAAGGAGGGAGGGAGGGGGAGAGAGAGAAGGAAAGAAAGAAAGAAAGGGAAGGAAGGAAGGAAGAATGGAAGAAGGGAGGGAGGTTGGAAGGGAGAGAGAGAAAGAAAAGAAAGAAAGAAAGAAAGAAAGAAAGAAAGAAGGAAAGAAAGAAAGAAAGAAAGAAAGAAAGAAAGAAAGAAAGAAAGAGCAAGCTGGCTGGGTGTGGAAGATAGTACAGAGAGGTGATAGCATGCACCTGACCGGGGTAGGGCGTGTGCTGGTGTTTGCTTTGGCCTCCAAAGCGTTGTCAGGTGCAGCTATGGAGGTGCCCAGCACCACCTGGCGGCTCAGGCTTAAGTTCTGGCATCAAAGAACCACTGCATCCTCCAGCTCTTGCATGGAAATGCCGATGTGGTTGGCCAAGAACTGTTAAAAAAAAAAAAACCCACCCAAACCAGTGAGATGGTGAGAAGAGTGAGAGTTCAGAAAACACTTGAGAGCAAGAGGTGATAGGAATCAGAATCATGAAGCAGACCACGAGACAGGGCCCTGGGTTTCCTTCTAACAACCCCCCAGTCCACTGCCTGGAGACAGGAAGGACCGAAGGACATGATGTTCCAACATGGAGGCATCACACCCCGCTGCGGCACTTCGCTGAACCAACCACCAGGAGGCAGACTTACCCAAAGTTTTAGATCTGGGGACTAGGGCAGAAGGGTTCACACAAGAGGCCGGGCACCTGCTTTGCACACCCGGGCTAGATCCTTGGGTAACACACAGTCCTGCTCTTCCCCCAAGCACCACCAGGATCAACCCTCGAGGACCAAGTCAGGAGTAATCCCTGAGCATTGTGAGAAGGAGGAAGTGGAAGAGAAGGAGGAGAAGGAGGTGGAGGAGCAGGAGGAGGAGGAGGAAGTGGTGGTAGTGGAGGTGGAGGTGGAGGAGAAGGAGGAGGAGGAGGAGGAGGAAGAGGAGGAGAAATAGGGTGGATGGGCACTTGTGGAGCACCTACTGTGCGTCAGCCTGAGGCTGGTCACTGAGCATATGGTCTTCCCCATGACAAGCCTGTGCCCTCACACTCTCCCCACCACCACCCCTTTATCTCCACTTCACTTACTGTGGTTTCAGCTGCAGCACTAACCATGGTCCCAAGATGTTAGGTACAATATAATGTGTCTTGAGAGAGAGACCACAGACACACACCTTTTGCTAAGGGGTATTGTTGTTCTGTTATTATTAGTTCTTGCTGCTAAGTTCTTATCGTGCTACTTCATAAATTCAGCTTTATCGGCATTTTATATAGGGGGAAGCATAGTATACAGCCAGAAACAAGGTGGCTCAAAGGACTGGACCACCTGCTTTGCATGCAGCAGCTCCTGGCTTAATTCCCAACACTACAGAGTCCCCTGAGCACTGTTGGGAGTGTCCCATGAGCATTGCACTGAGAGCAGCCCCACAGAGCACCACTGGGTGTGGTACCAAAAAGATAGGCTTGTTATACCTGTGCTTTCAGGCATCCCTGGGGGGTCTTGAAAGGTCTTGATCTGCCTACCAACCAATCTCTCTGGCCTCATCCTGTACCACTCCTCATTGCTCACGCTGCTCCATCCCACCAGCCCCATTGCCCTTCAACCTTTTGGCACACTTCTGCCTCAGGGCCTTTGCGCTGTCTGGGATGTACCACCCCGGGCACATCTTCCTCCCAAAGAGTCCCATTGTTAGCTCCTTCTGTTCCTTCTGGGCTTAGTGTTAACGCCAGTTTCACAAGGGGGCTTCATCAAAGGGCCCGACTGTCTCAGGGGGTCTATTTCCCACTGCTGGTTTACATGTCCTCTTGACTGCTGAGGTCAGAAGTCAAGTCAGTAGAACAGGATGCCAGGCTGCCCTTTTGTTTCACGGGGGCATGTGTCCTAGTTCTTTGGGGCGGCGCCCAGGGATGAGCCCTGGGTTCTGTCCGACTCTCTAACTTGCTGTGTGCTCCTAAGTGGTAGCCAACCCTCTCTGAACCGCAGGGCCCCACCTTCACACTAAGGGCTTCTTTGTTGATTTTCCACACCAAAAGGGCCAACAGGATGGGGCCCAGAAGACCCCCCACTTCCATGTAGGCCCCTTGCCCAGAGCTTGGGAGCTTCCAGAACATTTCCTTTCCCTGCAGAACATTGTTTTTACATGCCCACAGACCTGACACCAGGAAGTCTCTCTAAGTGGCAACTGGGTGGGTCTCTGAATCCAAGCACAGGTGCTCACTTTGTTTTTCTGAGTCCCGACTTCCTCTTGGGTAAAGTGTGTGTGTGTGTGTGGTGGGGGGGTAACTGTCTCCATCTCATAGAAGAAGACAAGATGATTTTTCTGAGGTAAAGCATTCCATTTGTGACATGCCCATGATGGATCACTTCTGCCCAGTGAGTTCCAACCTGCTTCCAGGTAGGCGTGCCCCCTGCTGGGGCCCAGCCAGACAACACGGAAGCATCTGGAAGGTGGTCAGCCTGTATCTTCTACCATCAGTAATGCCGATAGTAGGACTAGGATCAGGGCATGTGCATGTGTGAGTTCGTGTACATGGGGAACTGGAGTTGGCAGTACTGGGAATGGGACCAGGAGCCTCATCAATGCAAAACACATTTTCTAAGCTTTAAGCTGTATCCACAGTCCCTTACACCATGGTTTTTAACAGCCCTATTTTTATAGATGAGGGAATCGAGGCATGGAGCATCAAATGAAGCGTTCTTCTAATCCTGTTCATTGTGTTCATTGCTAGTGCCTGGCACAAAATAGGCCTGTGGTAAATTTATTTGGGACACCACCGCCAGCTGTGCCCAGAGGATACTCCTGATTTAGGAAGTCACTCTCAGTGGTGCTCATGGTGGAGGAGTGACTAGGTGCAAACTTAGAGGTGGAACTGGTGTTGGTATCTGCAAGACAAGTGCCTAACCCTCTGTCCTACTCCACCGGCCTCATGATAGTTTTAAACAAATTATAGCGACAGAACAGCGGTAGGGTGTTTGCCTCGCACGCGGCAGACCTGGCCGATCCAGGTTCAATTCTTCTGCCCCTCTTGGAGAGCCCAGCAAGCTACTGAGAGTATCTTGCCCACACAGCAAAGCCTGGCAAGCTCCCCGTGACATATTTGATATGCCAAACATAGGAACAACAAGTCTCACAATGGAGACGTTACTGGGCCCACTTGAGCAAATCGATGAAAAACGGGAGGACAGTGACATTGACAGATTCAACTCTTTATAGACGCTAGGCATGGTGCTAAGTGATCTCTGGTCTCAAGGTTAGTACATCCAGGACACAGCCCATGTCTACCTAGTCCAAAGCTCATGCTCCTTCCCGCAGAGCCTCTCACTGAAGCACAGAGGGGCCATGGGCAGACCCAGCCTCAGAGTAGGGCTTGGGCAGGTGTCCAGCATGGTGAGTGCCCCGTCAGCCTCTGTCCTGGGCCCCCAGCCTGAACCCCCAGCTCCGCACCTGAGTTGGTGCCAGGGAACTGCCCCTCGCAGGTGCCTGAACCTGAGGGCCCTGCCCAGTCAGCCAGAGCTCCGGGGCCAGGTGGGGCTCCCTGCCGAGTGCAAAGGGGGCCCGCAGGGCTGGGGGCCTTTCTTTCAGGCAGGAAGCAGGGACTTGCCAGGCGGGATTTACACTCACTGCCGTGTCACTTGGGAGTGTCAACGGTAAATACTGTATTTCTTGCCTGATGACAGCTGGTCCGGGTAGGACCCATTGAGTGACCTCTGTCACCCTGCTGTCCTGACCAGCCAGTCACTCACCTGCAGTCATGCAGGAGGTGCCGGGCCCTTTCAAGCTATTGCTAGGACAGGAACTAAGTTTCTGAGTTTTGCAGTGCCAGGGTCAAGCTCAGGGCTCCACACAGGCGAAGCAAAGGCTCTGCTTCTTCCTGGCCCTAATAGTAGCTAATATTAGGGGGCTGGGGGCGGGTGGGAATCATATCCAGTGATGCTCGGGGCCCCAGGAGAGTGGGGTGCTCAGGGAAACATGTGACGCCAGAGAGCAAACCCAGATTCCCATATGCAGAGCATGTACTCCGGCCCAGTGCACTCTTGTTTCTAGCAGTGACTGTTTTTGTGGTTTTGTTTTTGTTTTGTTTTGGGGCTACATTCAGGGGTGACTCCTGGCTTTTGCACTCAGGAATCACTCCTGGCAGGCCCAGGGGACTATGGAAGGCCAAAAATCAGACCCGGGTCGGTTGCATGCAAGGCAAGTTCCCTACCCACTGTACTATCTTTCCGGCACCCTGACAATGACTGTTTTGAGTGTGGTCAGTAGGTATCTCCTGCATCAGTGTCTCTGAGAGGGGAGGGAGAGAGAGAGAGACAGACAGACAGACAGACAGACAGATAGACAGAGACGGACAGAGACAGAGAGACAGAAAGAGATGTTTAATGTTGAGGCCTAAATCTGTTCCCCCAAAACTAGTTAGTCCAAAAGTCAACAGGCCACCACTGCCTCAGGAATGTCCCTTTAAGATTCTCAGAAGATTCTCAGTACTGAAATTCAAGGACTCTGAGCACCTCCCTGGGGTCCATGCAGACAGGCAGGACCAGCTCCAGGGCTGAAGATTGGCGTGCACGAAGGAGAGGGCTGGTGGGGAGCCCCCTCCTTCCTTGCGCCCCCCACGCCCCCCGCCCGCTCACCTGGGGAAGCTGCTGCCAATGAGGATCCGGCCCAGGGGGTACTCTTTGCCATTCACTGTGACAGGAGGGCTGACATCCAGGTTGCCAAAGGAGTCAAGGCCGGAGGGACCCCCAAACGGAATCTCCCGGGTCACATACCCAAAGTCAGGGCCCTAGGAGAGGATCAGGAAGACCCCCCCACAAAAGGAGGGGTCAGTTAGGACACAAGGAGGTGGCTCTTCGTGGAGCAGGTGATACTGGGGCTTCTCACTCCTGAAGAACAGCCTCCGTTCACCACACACACACACACACACACACACACACACACACACACTTCCCATTAGCCCAGCATGATGCCATGGAAGTCCAAGCCAATAACCACACAATAATAAGAAAGATCCCAAATGTTCAGAATTCCAACCACAGGTGTCTGAAGATCCCCGGCATGAAAGCAGAACCTCAGGTGGAAATCAGAGAGCACTTGTGAGGGACAGAGGACAGAGACCCAGTCCGTTGCCCCAATGGGGTCCATGCAGCCCTTCAGGGAATGGTCATAGCTCAGTGTAAATCTCAAGAGAAAAAAAGGCTGCAAGGGGTCAGCTTGCGTTTCCAGCTAGAAAAAGCACCACCGACCATGCCCGGAGAAAGGAGAGACGCTCCGGCAGGAGCAGAAACCAGTGGGAGGGCCCTGGCCAGGGCAGGCCGGGTCCAGGAGGACTCACCCTGCTGGGGTCACTGTCACGTCTGCAGGAACTCGACCCTGAGCCCTCCAGGTGGGGGTGAATGTCCCTGATCTGTGTGCCCACCACAAGCTCCTGGCCTTAGCCAGGCCAACCCCCACCCGGACACTGGCATTGTCCAGGGATGGGAATGGCGGCGGGGGCAGAGAGGGCCAGTACACGAGCAGACTGTGAGCTTCAGGACTCCCCTCAAAAGACAGCGTAGCCTAGTGGTTAAGCATACAGGCTGGGAGGCAGCCCCCCACTCCCCCTCCCCCCACATAGGTTTTGCAGGTTGGTGTCACCTGTCATCTGGTGTGTGGCCTTGAGCAAGTTACGGAACCTCTCTGAGCCTCAACATAGAGGGAACCATCATAGCCTGACTCACAGAAGTGTTAGGCGGATGAGATGAGGACCCAGGTAAAGTTGGGAGGGAGCGTCTGGCATGCAGGGCAAGCTCACCAGAGCCACTCTGGTTTCCACCCTGTGCCTGCCCCCCAGCAGGCACTCCAAAATGATTTATTACTTTCAAGGAGGGACCCCCCAGCCCACACTGCCGAAGTCAAAGCCAGAGCTGCAGGGGCTCCCGGTGGGGAGTCGTCTCCCCAGAGCCAGGGAAGGCCTCCCGGGGCTGCCCCCTGAGCTGACTCCCCAGGCACGGCTGAGCCTGCCCCCCACCCTGGGTAGGTCTGTACACACATCTCCCTCCGAACCCCGTGTGTCAGAGCCCACCATTCAACCCCGCAAAAGGACCCTGGGAGCAGGCAGGGCTGAGAGAATTCTCTAGAGGCTCCCCTTGTTCCTCCCCTGGCCACATACCAGGATCCTCTTGTAGGGGAAATCCTTCAGGCCTCTGTTTCGGGGGGAGTCGAAGACGACGGGGAAGGATTTGTGGGGAGCTTCGGTGTAGCCAAACTCCATCTCGTCCTGGAGGGGGTTGGGGGGGAGGGGAACCAGTGACTTCTGGGCTGTTTTTCAGCAAGCCAGGAGAGCAGATCCACCGGAGACCCAGCAGAGGGAGACAGGATCGGGTGCTTTGGGATCCCCGTTAGCCAGGGACCAGAGCAATTCCAGGACAGCAGGAGGGACCAGGCTGATAAGGGCAAATGGAGAAGTGTTTCCCAGGCTGGAGCGTTAGCACAGTGGGTAGGGTATTTGCTTGCACACGGCCAACCTGGGTTCGATTCCCAGCATCTCATATGGTCCCCAGAGCACTGCCAGAGGTATTTCCTGAGTGCAGAGCCAGGAGTAACCCCTGTGCATTAGAGTATGACCCAAAAAGCAAAAAAAAAGGGTTTCCCTAAGCTGCATGCACCCCCATCCTAAGACCAGGCACCCAAGTGGCCTAGCTTGCCTAGGGAGACTGAGGCTGGTCAGCACCCTGGACAGGCTCCTCTGGGCCCCAACCTTGAGGGGACGGCCTGGTGGGTTGGGCCCACTCTCTTCCCAGTGGCCCCACCTGGATCCAGCGGTCGTTTCTGTTCTCGATCCACGGGCAGACAATGAGCTTGCAGTTGGTTTTCAGCGCCAGGTCAGCCATGTCTTCCAGAAACTTCTCATTGGGGCCGTGGGTGTCGATCACACTGAGAGACAGGAGGGGAGGAGGGAGCGAGCCCCCGGACTGTTTCTTTTTCTTTTTTATTTGTTTGTTTGAGGGTTTGGAGGCCACACCTGGCAGTGTTCAGGGCTTACTTCTAGCCAGGAGACCATATGGGATGCTGGGGATGGACCCTGGGCCTGGCTTGCGCATGGCAAGCTTCTTCCCTGCTGTACTATCTCTCCCGCGCTCATGCAGAATCTTTTGTTTTTTTATTTTTTTTTTTTTTGCTTTTTGGGACACACCCGGCAATGCTCAGGGGTTACTCCTGGCTCTGCACTTAGGAATTGCTCCTGGACCATATGGGATACTGGGAATCGAACCCAGGTCGGCCGCGTGCAAGGCAAACGGCCTACCCACTGTGATATCACTCCAGCCCCTCATGTGGGATCTTGAGGGCAGCAAGCCCAGGGCTATGATACCAGAGTGGGGTCGCAATGGAGGACGGAACCCGGGAACTGAGTCTCTTACTAACAGGGGTTGGGAGGAGGCTGGCCGTCTGGTGCCTCAGTGGGACTGGGGGCACAAGACAACTCTGCCTGCACCTGCCCGCCTGGACCCTGAGCCTTGGACCTCCACTCTTGTGACCTCTGGCCCTCTGTGCCATGGCCTGCAGTGGTCTTACCCCAAGGGCCTCCCAGATTGAAGGTGACTGACTCTGGAGGCTGGGACGCTCAGGAATCCCTATCCCCACCCCCCACCCTGACTCCAAAAAGGCTCCTTCTCCTACAGCTACTGGAACGTGATCAGGCTGCTCAGCTCAAATGGGAGCCGCTCAAGGCCCATGGTAGCCTGGGGGTTCACAGGCTCCTGCTGGAGTCGGAGCTCCAGGCCAGCCTGCCCGTCCAGCACCCAGCCTGCACCGATGGGTGCTCTCAATAGAACTGCCTCCTCTGGGGGAGAGCCCAGCCCTGCAGCCCAAGTTGCAGGCCTCTGCCAGGACAGGCCAGGTCTCACCTGCACACATAGAGCTCCAGCGGCGGCTGGGTGTTGGGGGTCATGATCCAGGGGGCCATACGGAAGGTCACAGTGTCTGTGAAGAGGGGCACCTCGGGACGGGACTGGGGGGGGGAATGAACACTCAGAGGACCCTCAGGGTCCCTATCAGGCCTCCAGCGCCCCCAATCTATCCAGCCTGGATCCTCCAAACAGACCCTCCCCAAGTCCTCGGGCACTCCCCTTCTCAGCCCCCCAGACTCTACAAACCTCCGTGTCCACCAGGCTGACGCTGAGTGAGACCAGCCCCGGGAAGTCGGCATCGGGAAAGGTGAGACCCTCCACGTAGAAGCTGATTTTCTGTTCGCCCGGCTTCCGCTCCACCTCATAGGACAGTCGCTGGGGCCCCAGCACCTGCTTGTAGTCCGAGAGAGCACTCCCACCTGGGGGGACCAGAGGCACAGCCAGTGCAGGGACGGGAGACCACCCCGAGGTTATAGCATCCCATGGGCCCCTTGGGTTCCTCTCTAGCTCTGCCACGGGCTAGCTGTGTGACATTGGCTCAGGGAATCAACCTCTCTGAACTCTGTTTGGCCTGCGGGGAGCGGTTCAGGAGAAGGCACTCTGGAGGCTGCTGGCAGCCTGGAACCAGATGAGGAGATGCAAACAGTTGGCACAAAAGGTGAAGCCAACAGTCCCACTTCCATCAGCTTCCATTAGCAGCTGAACCACAAAGACTATTTCTATACTACAGAAGATCATTTATCCGTGGAAAGAACTGGAGCCGTGAGCCCCAGAGACGGGCGCTGGGTGAACACTCAGACTTGTTCTGAGAGTCCCTTGTAGAAGCGTCAGAGAAAGCGAGCCCCAGAGCCGACAGCGGTAAGTGCTCGCCAGGGGCTGGGGGCGGGGAAGTGGGGAGTGACTGCTAATGACTCCGGTGATGACAACGTCTTGGCACCGGCTGGAGGTGTTGGTTGTGCAACACCGAGAGGTGCTGTCTGCACAGGATGGCTCACTTTATACTCAATGTTTGCGGCTCTCTGGGCCTCTCCAGCAGCATTCGAGGTGGGAGTGGAGGTCCTAGGGGTCACTCTAGCAACCCAAGGCTGACAGGGCTGGTCGGTGCAATGCTCAGGCCCAGTGCTGGGAGCCACCAGGGCCCCAACCTGATCAAGCCACAGGGGGGCCATGGGGTGGAGGAGATGAAAGTCAAGGCCACAGGCATGCCTGCAGGGGTGTACCCACAGCCCTCAAGCTACTTCCCCAACCTCTGTTTCATGGCATGAGGCAGCTCTGTCTGTTCTGTCCCTCCCCCTGCCCTCTCTGTCTCTCTCTGTCTCTCTGTATCTCTCTCTCTCTCTCTCTCTCTCTCTCTCTCGTACGCGCACACACACACACACACACTCACATATACTCTCGTATACACACACATACTCTCTCACACACACACACTCACTCATATACTCACACAGGCTCTCACACACTCACATTCTCTCACACACACACTCACACACTCTTTCTCACACACACTCACAGACACTCACATACTCACATACTCTCATACACACACTTACATTCTCTCTCACCACACATATACACATACTCTCTCTTTCACACATACTCTCTCTCGCATACACTCACCCACACTCACACTCACACTCTCATACATACACACACACTCACACATTCTTTCACACACATTCACACACATTCACTCTCACACACACTCTCTCACACACTCACATACTCTCACACACTCACACTCTCTCACACACTCACACAAACTTTCTCACACACACACTCACACAGATTTAGTCACACAACACACACTCTCTCACACACTCACATACTCACATAATCTCTCACACACACTCAAATTCTCTCCCTCTCTTTTTTTGTCTCTCTCTCTCTCTTTCTCTCTCTCTCTCTCTCTCTCTCTCTCTCTCTCTCTCTCTCTCTCTCTGCCACAGCACATCTCCTCCTGCTCAGGGAGACTCTGCTCATGGTCTGAGGTTGCAGGCAGAGTGTCTTCAAGGTGGGCAGGTGGGAGGTGGGCGGGCACCACTGGCTCCTGGCAGGCGCATGGCCCAGAAGAACCAGTTCTGAGGCAGCGTGAGCCGCAAACTGAGGAGGTGAAGAGGACGCAGGAGAGGGTCCTCAGAGCTCTCCATCTCTGGGGCTTCAGGGCTCCCGAGGGCTGAGCGTCCTCAGAGCTCTCTATCTCTGGGGCTTCAGAGCTCCCAAGGGCTCCCGAGGACAGGACAGGGGGTGGGCTCCACCCAGGGGCTCCTGCTTCACCCCTCCCAGCCTGGGCACAGGGAGCTCTCACTGGGCCCCAGAGGAGGGACTTAGCAGTGGAAAGAGAGGGGCATTGGCACCCCAGAGAATGACTACAATGCCTGCGCCACCCCTAGTGGTCGCATGTTCCTGAAAGAGTGGATCCATCTATCTGGGCCTCAGTTTCCCCTTCTGTACGTTGGGGCTCATTTTGAAAGCTTCATGGGTAAGGTGCTACTTGCTGAGGGACCCGGGTGCTATGCAGTGTAGGGAGTTTCCAGAAGGCGATGAGGGAGCAGCACGAGGGCTGGAGCACAAGCTTTGCAAGTGGGGCCCAGTTCGGATCCCGGGCACCGCTCATGCCCCAGGCATGGCCAGGTGGGGCCCCGCTCCCCGCTCCTCCGAATGATGCCAGGAGGAAGGAGCCTAGGCCAGAGTAGGAGTGCGTGGCTCTGTGTCTGAGCTCCCACCTTGCCTGGATGAGGGCCTGAAGTTGATCCCCGGCACCCCGATTTGTGTGACCCCAGCACAGAAACAAACTGTAGGACCCTCAGACACCACCACCACCTGACCACAAATAAGCAAGAGAGAGTTCTGGGAGCAGGAAGGCCAGGCCAGGCCACTCACCCCTTGCATAGAAGACCCCCACTCTCTTGGCATCGGAGAACGGCACGCTCAGCACCAGCTTGTGGCTCTTGAAGAGTTGGTCTGGGCCCCCGCAGGTCAGCACCAGGGGGGACATGTCCTGCAGATCTGGACAGGTGGTACCCAAGATAGTCTTGACTGCAGCCTACTCTTGGGCTTTCTGCCCATCCCCCCCCCCCCCCCAGGCCTTCAGCACCTCACACAGGGCCCCTGACTTCCCTCCTCTCACTCACCATCCAGCGATCTCAGCTTGCTGCTGGCAAGGTCCAGCCCCCTGGACCTGGGATTGTCCTGGTCACAGTTTACCAGCAGGACAGCTCCAGGGCCCTTTGCACCCCAGTTCCAGGTTTTCTGCGGCAAAACAAGAAGTTTCAGGGTGAATGGGACCCAAGGAATTTAGGAGGGGGTCGTGGTCACTATGACTATAGTAGTTGGAAATGATCACACTGGACAAGAACTGAGTTTTGAAAGTAGGTAAAGGGCTAGACATGATAACCTTTCAGTATCTGTATTGCAAACCACAATGGCCAGAGAGAGAGAGAGAGAGAGAGAGAGAGAGAGAGAGAGAGTGCCTGCCTCTGGATGTGGGGGAGTTAGGGGGTGGTGGGAGAGAAATTTGGGCATTGGTGCTGGGAAATTGGTGAAGGATTGGATGCTGGAACATCGTATGACTGGAACCCAATCACAAACAACTTTGTGATGGTCTATCTCACAGTGATTCAATGAAAAAAATTTATTTAGAAAGAAGGAAAGAAAGAAATAAAAAGAAAGGGAGGAAGAAAGGGAGAGAGGGAGGGAGGAAGGGAGCGAGGGAGGGAGGGAGGGAAGGAGGGAAGGAGGGAGTGGAGAGAGAGGAAGGAAGGAAGGAAGGAAGGAAGGAAGGAAGGGAGGGAGGGAGGGAGGGAGGGAGGGAGAGAGAGAGAGAAAGAAAGAAAGAAAGAAAGAAAGAAAGAAAGAAAGAAAGAAAGAAAGAAAGAAAGGGTTTCCGAAGTGGCTAGTGCTGGACATGGTTACCTCAGAGGCTATGTGTTCTGGGATTACTTTAAGAATGAAAAAAGGACTCTAGGTTTGGGGGCTGGTACAGTCTTGGTCTTGTGCAGTGAGCAACCTGAATGACTCTCCACAGTGCCTCCACCTCACCTCACCACCATCACCGATTCTTGAAATGTCCATCATTGGCCAATTGAGCTTTGGCCCTGCCCGAGGGACAGAAGCTGGCTCCCCTGGAGCTTGATAGGCCTGGAGGATTCCAGTCCTTTTTCCTGCAGGTCTGACAAGGGGGCCACGCTGAGGTGAGAGAGGGGTGGAGCCCTCCCTCTGCTCACAGTGCTCCCAACACAGCTCTCCTCTGCTCATCCCTGGGCCCATGAGGCAGCTCTCGCCCTTCCTGTTTCACCTAAGAGACTCCAGGAAGTGGTTTCCCTGGTCCCATGGCTGGGAGGATGCTTCTCACCTACACAGCATCCCGCCTTCTCTGACTGAACACTGCCTGCATCAGACGTGATGTGTGCCCTCCACCCACTCACCACGTTCACCCAGCCCCCTGTGCAGTGAGCACCCTACACAACTGTCTAGGACAGCGTTGCCCACCTGGCCTCAAAGCTTTGTGGTCCAGGCTTCTTCCGGGTCCTTCCCTGCAAACTCGACAATCCAGCTTCCCCATCACAGATTCCAGATACCCCCTGAGAGGTCATGCCTTAAGCTCATCCCAGCCTCCTCGTTCCTCTGGGGCTCCCCACTGGGGACCACAGGACCTTCTTTGCTAGAGCCCTCCTGCCCTCTTGCCTTCTCTTAATCACTCAACCTTTTCTGAAGCAGCTGTCCCATTGGGGAGGGCCCATTCAGACCAGAAGTTGGAGAAAGCCACGCACCAAAGGGCTGATCCCAATTCCACACTGCACAGAGATACTCAGAGAAGGCAAGCTGATTTTCTAGAGTCACCCAGCATGTGCATCCCACATTGCAAGCTATACCCACTCATGCCCATTGTCTTAGTCCCTGCCATGGATTCCTGACACAGCAGGAGACCCCAGACAGAAGAGCCCATGCCCTCCCAGACCCGTCCAAGAGCCTGCCCAGAGGGGTCTGTCAGCCCGGCTGCTCAGGGGAGTGTCACCTTGTCCTCTCCTTGGCTTCTCTTCACCTTGCCGGTGCGGCCTGTGTCGGCGTCCAGGGAGACATCTGCAAAGGCATGAGAGGGGCCCAACTTCACAGCCTAGTGCCCCCGCTGTACGGGAAGACCCATCCCCATGCCCAGGAGAGCAGGAAGCCTGTTCTGGGGACCCAAGTCTCTGGTTCTGGAGTCCCCCAACCCCCGTGTCATCTGGGGCAGGGGCTGAATTTGCTCACTCTGAGGCCCAGCTGGGCACCAGGCCTGTAGCTCTGGGAGCTGCCCATTCCATCCCCGGCCCCTGAGGCCCCACCCAAGGGTCCACAGCAAGTCCAGTCTGGGACTGGTTCCTGGAAAGGTGCTGGGTGGCTTCAAGGAGTCCCGCTCTTGACCCAGTGTGCAGTTTCTGGGTGTCTTACTGACCTCTGGGTCTCCAACCCTAAGGGCCCAGAGGGCTGAAAGGCCTCTCTATGAGGGCGGACACTGCCCACAGCCTGCTCTGGGGGCCCCTGACACCCTCACGGGGCAGGGAGAGCCAGGGAGGGAACTCACCAATGCCCGTGATGTAGAGCTCACTCTGGCCCAGAGCCCCGCCCTCCGGCTGCTGCCCGAAGTAGGAGACCTTCACCTGCAGGGTATGAGCGGGCCTTTTGAGGTGGCCGAGGTGGGGGGCGTCCAGGACACCCCAGAGTCTAGCATGGGAGGACGGCAAACAATTCTCCCAGGGAGCAAAGTCCAAACCCATCTCCAATCTTCTGGACAGCTGATTTTTTTCCTGCTAGAGAGGCTGTGGACTCCAGGTACGCTGTTGGTATTTGGGGTGGGGGGTGCAGGGGCGGGTCTTATCAGGGCAGATATGACCCAGAGAATTCATAGATATTGTATAGAAAAATGAATGGGGGAGGGCAGTAGCCATCACTATCTGATACAAGTTCCTCAACCTCTCTGGGTCCTCAGTTTTGTGGTCTGTCAAATGGGAACAAAGATTCCCAGCCTAGCAATAACAATGGTCACAGAGCTTCCCTGGGGTTCAGAGCCATGTCTTGGGGGAGGCCTGCCAGGGCCCCGCCTACAGCTAACTGCCTCAGTTCTGACTGAGCCTTTCCTGCCCCATGGAGGGAGAAAAGGTTGGGCCAGGGGGCTCTGTGGGGTCTTTTGAGGGCAGTGGTCCAGTAAGGGGATGTCCTATAAAAGAAGAAGACCCCTCTCTGTGGGACGCCCTACCCACCAGAGCCAGTCTGCCTGAGGGGAGCCAGAGTGCCCCCGTGATGCTCCGAGGTGCCACCTGCACGGGATGGAGTCGCTATTTAAGGGGAGGCTCATACACAGGCTCGTGCAGAGCTCAATCAGGGTTTGCCTGTGAACTTAGGAGGGAAGTCGGCAGACTGTTTACGTGTTGCATGCTTGTAAGTTGGGGGCTGCAGGTTGGGGGCTTGCAGGTTTGGGGGGCCGCAGGCTCGGAGGTATCTGTGGATGTCCAAGTCTGTGGGGTTCAGCTGAGTCAGGAAGACACGCGAGTGGGGGTGTGCTGGGGAGTGGGAGGAAGTGGCCTCTTACCTTGAGGTCTCCTATGTCCTTGCTAACGGCGTCCACGGAAATCACCACGTCCACACTGGCATCCAGGGGCCAGTGTGACTGGCCTGTGGGTTCTGTCACCCGAGCAGGGTCATACGCCATGAACACCTTCACTCCAGAGCTCCCGGAGACCCCGAAGGTCTTGGCGCCCTTGGGCACATGACTGACAGGAGAGGAGAGAATTGGGGATTCAGTATGGTTCCAGAGGGGGAGGCAGGCCGGCAGGCCGCTAAAACATCTCCCTAACAGCTATACAGGGGCTGGGGGTGGCCCCTGGGCTCCGTGCCAGCTTGGCACTGATTGCCACCCCATTCCTCCACTGTCTCCAGCGTGATGTGGGCCCAGGGACACGAGACTGATGGGAGGTGAGGAAGGACCTGCCGTGCTGTTTAACCCCTTTCTCTCCAACAGCACCTAAAGTTCCAGAGACAGCAAATCTCAGGATGATCCTCCCCCAGGCCCAGGGGGTCATTCCTGCGGATGCTTCCAAATTCCCAGATCTGGGTGCCAGAGCGATAGTATAGCGGTGAAGGTGCTTGCCTTGCTGACCTGGGGTTCAATTCCCCTCCAGGAGTGACTCCTGAGTGCAGAGCCAGGAGTAAGCCCTGAGCACTGCCAGGTGTGCCCCCAAACCAAAGTGAGGATGAGGGTAATGAGGATGAGGATGAATAATAATAATAATAATAATAATAGTAATAATAATAATAGTCTCCAAAGTCCTAGACCAGAACCGGACAGGCAATTAGTTAAGTTGACTACCTCCCACACCTCCCCACTATCCCGCCCCTCTAGAGCCCCAGGCAGTCCCCTCCTAGCCCTGCCCCCACCTCACCCCACCCCCTCCCCAATCCGGGACTGTTCCATAGGCAGCACCTGGGAGTCCCGCCCTGTATATTCCAGGCTCATTAGCAGAGGTTTCGACACACTCCAGCAAGATCTGGGATCAGAGCCGCCCACCACCTCTCCCACGCCCTGCACTCCCCCTCTCCTGTCTGCTCCAGTCCTGCAGCCTTCCTGTGAGCCCACAAAGAGGCCAGGGTGCTGGCCTCAGGGTCTTTGCACGACCTGTTTCGGCAGCAGAGAACAGGCTTCCTGGAGGGGCCTTGGTTTCCCTCTTTGCTGGCCTAGTCAGACCCAGCAGGAGTCAGGTCCCTGCTTGCCTGATTCCAGGACTCAGTGCAGCACCCCACTCGGCTGAGTATTCGAGACTCCAGAGCTCGGGCTCCAGAGAGCTGATAAGGACCCTCCGTCAGCCAAGCACAGCCGCGGGGGCCCCACAGTCAGGGGGTGTTCTGCAAACTGGGCTGCAGGGCACCCAGAGCTAAGCTACCGGGACCCCTGGGGGAGCATCTTTTGTCTTTTTGGTTCCCCAGATGCACAGACCTGTGTTCGCAGAGCCCCTGGCCTTGTAGGGCTCACACTTCAGTGAAGAGATGGAGAGGAAGAGCTTGGCAGGGCTTTGCCCTCCCTGAGAGGGTAAGGGGCCCCCTGCTGGCCCCAGCACAGAGCCCTCAGCCTCACAGCAAAGCCCAGGATCAGATCTGGCTGGCTGCAAAGATGCTGTGCCAGGCTGGTCCTCAGACACATCTTTCCTGGACCCCAACGACCTTCCCATATAGTAACTCCCCTCCCCATGGTCCCCTGCCCCAGCCGCAGTCCTTCCACTGACTCAGAGTTCCAATCACCCTGCTCTGTGCCTGGCTTTCCACAGAGGAGAACTCTCCATGTTCTGGGTGTGAGTTCTCCTATTTTACAGACATGACTTGGGCAGAAAAGAACCCGAGAAGGCAGCTGACAGGGACCTCTCGGCGTGCCCCCCCTCCCGCACCATCCACATCCAGGGCCTCACGTTGATGCCTTCAGGAAGTCTCTTCCATGTGCTCTGGTCTCAGTTCATTGGTTGCCATGGGAACCCAATCTCCTGGGTACCGATCTCCCAACTGACCGCATCTCCCTTCCTCCCCCATCCATCCCATGCTCCCTGTCTGTGTGCAGCTTCATTCACTTTCCCACCTTCATGCTCGAACCACGCCTGCTCCGGGCAGTGGACGTGGTCTCTGTGGGAGGGCGTGGGAGTGACCAGATCCCTCTAAATGGTTTCTCCCATACCCTCTTCCACTGGGCCCAGAGGTGGCCAGGGGTCCTGCGTGTGCCCCGTCTGTCACTTCCTGATCACCACCTGTCTGTCTTCATTCATTGAGGGGGGCAGCAGCTGCACTGTGTCCAATGCCACTGCCCCCACTTATTTTAATGACCTTATGGGCTCTCTCTCCCCTCCAGACTTCCGCTCTTCCAGGGTTCCTGCCCACCTCTAGCCTCCGCCATCCTGTGCCCAACTCCTAAACTGCCAGCTCCCTCCTAAGGCACCAAGTGCCCTAGGAACTGCCACGATGGAAGAGGAGCCTTCGCCCATCCTTCCCACCCAGTCTCACCCCCCCTCTCCTCTGTTCACCGCCATTGCTTGCTCCACGCACAGTTCTTTGTTCTGCCTTTCTGCTGTGACTCTGCCTAGCAGAGCGCCAGCCATGACCGAACCCCTTTGTCCCACCCTTGCTCCTCATCTGCACCTGCCCACTGGACTGTGACCCCCATTAGGCTGCTGACCTCAAGCTGCCTTTCGCACCACCCAGCAGTCTGCGACAGTCTGCCATCGTTTTCCTCTTCAGGGTCCAAGAAAACCATTCCGTACTTTCTCCTCTTTCTGTTTCCTCCGCTTCCCCGTCACCTAGAGCAGCCTTATTCCTTCTCGCCCTTCATCCCTGAGATTACATATGTGCTGTAGATATCACTCATCCAGAAAATCCCAGTCCCTGCCCCCTCCTTTCTCCAGCTCCCATTTTCCCCTCCCCCCACCCCACCACCTTTCTTTAAACACCATGGTTTGCAAGGTTGCTCGTGACAATTTGTTACTGGCATTCCAACACCAGTCCCACCACCACTGTCATCATCCCCCACCACCCACCGTTGTTTCCATTTTCCCAAATCCAGCCCCCATTCGCAGGAAAACTCTTGGAGAAAGTCCCACCCAGTTCTTTCTTCCCATCATCTCTGTAAGATGCCCTTAGTCAGGTACTCCTGCCAGCCATGCTGCCAAGCCCACAGGGCTTGTCTCTGCTCCTCTTGCTGACCTCAGAGGCATTTGCCCCAAATGATCAGCTGTCCTCCTTGAAGCAACCTCCCCTCCCCCCCCCCGCTGCAATATCCTTTGTTCTCTCCCCTGGGCTGTCCCCTCTGCTCTTCCTTCTCACCCTCTTTCCAACTCGTGAGTCCTCCTCTAAGTATATATCTGCAGCCACTGAGTTGGAGTGGACTGTGCATGTGTAAAAGTTTATTATATATTATATATTTTAATGATTGAAATGATGGGTAGCACGCAGCATGCAAATAGTAACACTTTGTAAATAGTACCCTTTATGATAAAATTTGTTGCAAATTTTTGGCATCAACAAAAGACATTTTGAGCCATGATGATGGATCGCTTATATAACAGTGGTCCCCAGAGGTCATATCATAGAGCTGAGGTCTGGGCTCTGTATCTATGTTTGTGTGTTCACACTCTGATAGTTGCATAATGATGAAATCATCTAACAATGTACTTCTCAGAACCCAGCACAGTCATTAAGTGAAAAATAACCATATAACCCCCTGATTCTTACAGCCAACACAGAGTTGCATGCAACCAGAATTCGGTAAATGGAGACATATCCCAATCTTCAAATTCTCACCCCCAATAAATTGGAGTGTGACATGAATGTTGGCAGATATTTTCATTTGTGCCCAAGAGAAAAGCGAACATGAGGCAATAAAGAAGAGAGATCGGAGAAATGGCCCAATGGGATGCGTGCAGTTTGCATGCAGAAGACCCAATTTGGTCCCTGGCACCACATGGTACCTTACCACTAGCAGGGATGACCCCCAAGCAATGAACCAGGATTATCCCCTAAGCACCACCAGGTATATCTCAAATACCCCCCCAAGAAAACACAATGAAGATATAGTACCCCTTCATCCTCAACATGGATAACTTCTTTGCTGACTCAGGCTATACTTGAAGAACCTCCCCAGTGCTTAGCTAATCACCATGTAATTTCGCTAAAGACAAAGTAACAGCTAGAGAGACAGTAGCTATAAAGTCTGGTCTGCATTAACCTTTTCCTCATTGAAAATTAAGAGAGAGGAAAAAGAGAAAAAAAGAGAGGGGAGAGAGAAGGGAGGAGGGAGAGAGAGAGAGGAGGGAGGGAGGGAGAGAGAGAGAGAGAGAGAGAGAGAGAGAGAGAGAGAGAGAGAGAGAGAGAGAGACCTCATTTGTAGCCTTTGCCTGTTTCTGTGGTCTAAGTATTCCCACTCTGGCCAGTTTTATTGTTTTCTAACACAACATCCTGGAACTCAGACTTACAAAGAGATGCACAATAGCAATTCCTCATGTAACTTTTTATCAAATGGAGGTAAATGAATTCTGGAGAACAGATTATGGCAGGATGTAGCAAAATAAGGATTCAGTGCATTTCTGAGTATTTCTGTCTTTAAAAATTTATTTAATTGTAAGTATATATATATATATTAATCTTAAATAGCTGTTTGACAACAGGCTCATAAACTTCCCTTAAAAATGAACAAGACAGGGGGCCAGAGCGGGTAGGGCGTTTGCCTTGCACATAGCTGACCCGAGTTCAATCCCCGACATCCCATATGGTCCCTCAAGCATCTCCAGGAGTAATTCCTGAGTACAGAGCCAGGACTAACCCCTGAGCATAGCTGCGTGTGACCCAAAAAGAAAAAAAAGAAAGAATAAGACAGGGCCAAAGAAATAGTTCAGCGGCTACTGTACTGTTCGCAGCTGTCCTTGGTTCCATCCCCAGCACCATACAAAGTCCCCTGAGCCCCACCAGGAGTGATTCCAGAGCACAGGGCCAGGTATAAGCCCTGAGCTCCTCTCGGTATGGCCCCAAACCAGCAACAAAATGAATAAGGCAACAGAGTCCTGTTGGGGAAAGACCCTACTGCCCTGCTACAGAAGTGCACAGTCCACTTTCCTCCCAGCCCTCCTCAAAGGGACTTTCAGGGGGAAGAAAATTCCATTCTTCCCAATTTTGCTGGACACAGACTTTGAACTGACACCGGTTCCAGGACACCCCAGACATCAACACTGGCCACAATCAGAAG